CCCCAAAAATTCAACAAAACTATTTACAAAACAAACTGCACTGGGATCCTCAGGGAGTGATGCTGTATCTAAAACACAAGACAAAGCAACATGATCTCAAAAATGACGTTGCCTCTAAAAGTAAAACTCCTGAATCAACACAAGGCACAGGAAAGCTGGACATAGCCATTCTCGACTTGAAATCGACAGAAGCAAAATATACAGTTTTGAAGTCATCTAACAATGATTATGAATTTCCGTACACGTACAAAATCTTGTAGTAGAGACTAATCTAAGTAGTCTAAGTTTCAATACAAATTTGATTGTGTGTAGTTAAGCGCAGATCTACACAGTGGGCTATCTGTGCTCTGCCCACCACGGGTATCGAAACCCGGTTTCTAGCGTTGTAAGTCTGCAGACATACCGCCGTACCGCTGGGGACTTCAATACAAGAAAGCTGTTTTCTATCTCTCACTACTTCTTCTCTAAATCCTCTTATTAGTTATCCCCCCAACTTTTCCTGTATACTTAACCCCCCTCTCCCAGACTCATTGTTTGTTACAATATAAATTTGCTTTTGCTCCTTTCTATATATTTAAAATGCATACAGATTAGAAATCAAGTTTGAGAGCGACATGGTAACGATATTTGTTGGAAACTATCAAGCCATATGCATTAGCATTATCTGAGAATATTGAACGGAAAAGCTAATCAAATAATAGTACAGTAAATGGAACTATACAGATATATTTCAAGTGTCGAGCGAATTTTCTAAATTCTTAATTTTCACCTAATTTCAGTGCAAAGTAACATTGCACAAATTGCACATGTCAATATGATTAAAATGGTCTCAGTGATAAAGTGATCTAAGACGTTCATCTTTTTTGCCCATCATTGCACATTTGATATAAAGCGCGCATCCAACTCGACTCGCAATCTGAGGGTCGCGGGTTCGAATCCCCGTCACACCAAACATGCTTGCCCTTTCAGCCGTGGGGGCGTTATAATGTGACGGTCAATCCCACTATTCATTGGTAAAAGAGTAGCCCAAGAGTTGGCGGTGGGTGGTGATGACTAGCTGCCTTCCCTCTAGTCTTACACTGCTAAATTAGGGACGGCTTTGCGCGAAATTCAGAAAAAAAACAACTCGACGAGATGTTAAGTTTACTGATAAAGTTACCTCGGCGGCGGTCTTTTTCTGTGACTTCGTCTACCAGTAAATCAGTACGTTTCGTTAAATGGAAAGTCTAACAATTTTTTAACCAACATTTGATTGCATATTTTTGTTAAATTATAAGTAAGAACTTCTTGAGAACTCTGTGAACATAATTTTGAATAACCTTTTTTTTTCGGATGGTTTGGAAGTAAACAGTGTGAACTTAATCGGGAGTTCCTCAGGAAATATAAGTAGATGCGGTACTCTAAAAATGAGGTTTACTGTGCATTATGTTACCTGTTTTGAACAAATGAACGAAAAAAAACCGTTTACTAGGTCTTCTATAAGCAACTAAAAACATTAGCGAGTTACTGTAACGTAATTTGAGGGAAGAATCTGATCACCATATGATCACCATAAATACACTGCGATAGTTGAAAGTTTGTTGGACGACAGACAGAAGAGAAGAGACAGATGAGATGATATCACGAGGAAGTCGTTCAAAGAAACAACCGAATCCTACAGAATATCTTACAAACACACTCTATAGTAAACGAAACTCTCCACAGGACAGTAGTTTTCTTGCAATTTTTTAATTTACTTCGAATCAGATTCTATAGAATGCAGATAATGTACAGAATGCACCTTCGAGAACAAAATACACATTGTATATTGTTCAAAATTAAATTATCAACATACTAGGAGAAAATATAAGAAATGGCAGCGTTGAGAAATGTAACCAGTCTCCTTGTTTTTCATTATTGCCGATGAAGTGGTCGATAAATTGACTACCAAACAAGTTTCTTTCTGTGAGCTACTGGCAGTTTTCACAAAACCTAAAACCTTTTCTCCTACGACGAGGTTTGTCACAAAACCCACTGATTAGGCACTTGCTGACACATTTAGGGAATCTCTAAAATTTCCTGGAATAAACGTCAATAAAATGATAGATCAAAGATATGACGGGGCTTTCAAGGTACGTGGACATCGACATGGTGTACACTGTACAGACACCGATACCAGCTGCAGTTTACGTGCACTGCCATGCACATTGCCTGAATCTGGCAATTGTACATGCTTCAGGTGAACCTTTAGAGCGTAACATGATGGTAATCATGCAAGATACCAGTACCATATACCAAGTACATATTTTTCAAATGGTCTCAACAATTCAAAGAAAGCCTTTTAGTCACCCCTCACTAACTTGAAGAGCTAAGTTGCAAGTGCTATGTAAAAATAGGTGGTCAGCACGAGCAGACGCTTCACATGCACTTTTATAGAGCTTTGATGTAGTGGTTGACTCTTTGTCCACACTTGCAGACAACAGTGATGACAAGGCGCAAACACACTTGAATAACATCTTGTAAATGTTCTTTATCTTAAGTTTAGTTGCAATCAACAGTGCAACTCTTCAAAATGATGCAGCTTAAAATTGTGAATATTGTGGAAGCGGCACGAGAGGCATAAGTTGTGATAAGGATCTTATCGGCAGAACAAGAGAATAAAGATGTTTGGACTCAATTGTGTGACAGAGCAGTCAATATCAACGATGTGGCTGTCCGACGATCATGATTTGTGGGTCGCCAACAACATTGTGTCAACGTACCAACTGACAACACATCAGACTGTTACAAAAGAACATTATATTATCCCTTTATAGATCTTCTAGATGGACAAATTACCGACAGACTTATAACACCAGAGGGACGATTTAAAGCTCAATCTCTCATCCCAGTCAGGATTCAGGATCTCTCACCAAAACGAAGATGAAATTTTACGGGAATATCCGAATGAATATTGGGGGACTTCGAAGATGGATCGTTCGATGGTAAATGATTCCTGAGACCCTAATAGATTCTGTTGCCATGACACCTTCCGACTTGTTTCATAATGTGTCTCATATCTGCATGATACTACTGTGTATTTGACAGCAGAGAGGTTTGTTTGTTTGTCGTAAACTTAACGCTGACCCATCAATGGGTCAGCATAGAGGTATTTATCAGCTATGATACGCATCCCAAACTGTTTAAGGACAACAACTGGACACGAAATATTCAGTTTTTTTCGCTCTTATTCATACAAATTTGAATTTGACTATGAGATGGCCCTTGAGAAATTCATGGACATCAAAAAAGCGCATTGTTTTGCAGTAAATACCGTTCAACTAAATGAATGGTCCCTTTGTCGTCACCTCTGATATATAAAATCACTTTAATTGATATTAACGGCACTTGTTTGATTAAAATGTTTTTGAATACCGTAGGGTAACTTGCTTTTTTTTTTCCTGTAGCCGATTTTCATTCATCGATGCATAAATTCATGTGTATAAACATGCCTTTTTAAAGGAGGAATACCACCATGAAAATAATTCAGAAATGCATCAATATACACAATTTTGATCCCATAGCTTCAATATGTTTCTGGTGGAAGGCCCACCGAACCTCCATATGCGAGAGAAGGCTGACCTTCCCGAACTTACCCCTTGTACAATTTAAACATTTTTTTTCCATGATACAATCCATTTTCTTTTGCTTTAGAAGTTTCTAAAGTTAATAATTTAAATAAGTTTGAAAAACTTTAAAGTTTAAGCCAAATATGACAACAAATTTCAACATTTTTTTATGATTTATGGTGCATTCAAAGAGATGTAAATCACATGAATAAAGGTACTAGTATAACTATACCAACATAATCACGTGCTACAGATGTTGAGTACGTTATATAAAAATGATCTTGGAACCTCATTACGTCATTACACCCCATGTCGCCACGACTGAACGTTCTCTGTCTATGCGCAAATTGTAAGTAACAAACACTTATTATATTAAAACTGAAATATATGCGTTGCTATTAATGCACTTTCTCACACCAGTTTTATCTATTCAACATTTGCGAAAAAACAAATTTGGATTTGTCAGATGTGTTAGGCCTCTTTTGTCTTTTACTAAGATTTTACATTTTCTTCGGTTGTTCACAAATGCACACATACACACAGATATCTATATTGCCTGCCAGAAGTACCTTGTTACCTCTAATCTTGTGATATGACCCACCAAGGATATTCTACAAAGAAGATTAGTAACTCAGATATAAAGATATTGCAAATAGATTAGCATTGATAAAAACTCGTATAAGACACCATAATGTCACGAAATGTTAATGTGCGACGGGTAAGATTATAAACTGCTACATAATCACGATCTACTTCACAAGAAACTATTAGAAAGAACCAGGAATTGTTAGCCCAACATTAAGAAAACACTCAGATCGTTCGAAAGTGCTGTCTAGCATGATAAACATTCATTTTTCGAAATGTAAAAAGCGTCAAATGAATGAACATTTTAATTTTTATCACTAAATTCTAAAAAATCTAAGTCAGTGCAAAAACATTTTGCTACTGTTGATTCTATCTAATGTTGAAAACGTAAGAAAGGTTAGGTGTGACGATTGCACCTCTCGAACAAGGTATCAAACATAAGGAAGAATTAAACTCTCTCTAGGTCTCCCTTAATGTGGCTTTGTTTTTATATCGTGTATGTATACACAAGTTCTTCCCATGAATACCAATACTTTACATTCATCTGTGGCATACTGTTTGAACCTTTGTAAATAAAGTAACACGAAATAACATCATCACCTGCCTTTAAAAGTTGTTAATTCGTGAGTAAATCGAACCTTCCTTGCCGTGAATATATGACAGTTTGTCAGTGATTGTAAAAAGCAATTTCTATGTTAAGCAATCGATACATTTTTGTGTAAAAATTTGTATTGATTATGCAAATAAATAAATGCATATATAAATTTTGTTGTAGATAAGGTAAAAAACGAAAAATCATCTCATTGTTTTTATTTGTTTTTATTTCCACTGACACTACACCACATGTAACCACAAAACGTACATCAAATAAATTAAATAACATAAGCACATTATTAAAAACATCAAATTCCATCAATTATTTACCTTTACACGTCAACACCATGTAAACACATCCAGAAATTTAAAATATATTTTTTTATACATGTAATAATTTCACCTTCAAAGTTTAGTTTTACATATAGTTATCGAACATTTTATACGTTATCGAACCGAACGAGCCATGATCTTCAGCCAGCAATATACTCTTTAATTTATTAACCCAATACTCTAAGGCTACTCTTATAATGAGTCAAGCATAAGTTTACTAAGCCACAAATTACATGAAATTTCAAACACAAACATAAAATGAGATTTGTTACTCAAGCCTCTCATTACGTTACTAAGGAATTTGTGATATAATATATAGTATAATAAAGATCATCACACAAGCGTTTATATATCTTAATCTATACATGTATAGTTTAACACAAAAAGAACTTGACAAAATTTTACATATAGGACAAGATTTTGATTACGCATACATATGTACATTTATTTTTTTCTTGCACTAAATAATATGTACATAAATATGGGTAGCATAAAGAATCTTTGACCTGTTATAACACAATATTGTACCATTTTTAATGTAGAAAAATATAAGAATATTTATAGCGTTGATTTTAGTGAAGCAAACTAAAACAATACTCCATCGTTTAGGAAAACTGTGCAGCCCCATGTGTAATCCTTATCTGGCTATTAGGTAACAGACACATGGAAATATAAAAATCCATAAAAAACTATCAGATAAATAAGAACTCACCTATTAGCCAGACAGAAGCACACATTCACACTCTTCCTGGCAATGGAGATGCTAATTTTTTGTCATTGTAATATCATTTCAGTACTGATAAAGTGTGATGAAAAATAGGGTTTTATACATAACTTTCAGAAAAACATCAAGCAGTAAAAGGAAATGTTAAGTGTTTTCCAAATCCCATAGATTTGTCAGGAAGACAAGTCAGATTCAGCTCATCAAGTTTGAGTTTACATCCATTGAAAACTGAGTACGTCTAAAAAGAGCTTATTTACATTAACGCAACAGTGTCATTGTAATAATTTGTTCAACTCAACGAAACAGTTCCACCATTCTTTTCAGAACTTCATCTACTAAAGGAGGATCCAGTATTTTGTTAACCAACATTAGATCAGTTTCTCAAGATTTTGCCCTTTTTAGAATCGGTGGAAAGCAGGCTTCAGGGAACTTGTCCGAGCACTAAACCTATTTCTAGAAAGTTGGTTTTCCTGGAAATCAAATTTCAACTTTGAGTTACATAAAACATGGTTCCTTACTCAAAACATTATTGTATATACCATTTTATTGAAGTTTAAACTTCAGAAGTAACTTAAGTGACACTGGTATTATTCTCAGGAAATTCCTATGAACACTATCTTCTAGAAAAGTGCGCTTTGGGCTTCAGTTTGCTAACGTTGGTACTGTCCTCAAGACTTGCCTCTAAACGCCACTTACTGTAAAACCGGTTTCTGGATTCAATTTATTAACACGGACTCTCTCTACAAGATATTCTATATATATACACAGCATTTTACTTGTAAAGTAGACTTCATGATCGACTTAAATAATATTAAAAACCGATCCTTCCGATGATTTTATAAATCTCGATATTTTTGGGCCACGTTTTTGCTACACACAAGTATACAACAGTGAATAACCATTATAGCGACAGCAGTAGCGAATACAATATTCTTCCATTTCTTCATTGACGACGTTCTGGTGACTTTGTCATGGTAAGGAAGTTGTATGTCCATTTAAAGTGACGTTTTAGATGTTGTCAATATAACATTGGTAATAGCTATAGTAGTCTTCTGATTTAATGTTCCATCTTGATATCAAGTAACATAAGTATCGTAGACTCCTAGAATTTAGTTGGACAATAATGTCAAGGGTCACATGACAATTACTAATATCCGTGTTTGTATACTCGCTTACGTTTTTTTTATAATAATAACAACACTGGCACGTTAATCAGAATGATGATGGTAAATGTAGAGATGCAGATTGAATAACACGTTTGTGAAAAGTGAGAGGTCAGGTTTACCTATTCGATCAAACAGTAAAGTTACAATGATACTAAACTGATAACGTTTAAACATTCGTATTGAATATACTGACAATAGAATGTTAATTAATGCTCACGAGATCACCATCGTATTACAAGAATAACTTCGGCTGTATTACGTTTAAACATTCGTATTGAATATACTGACAATAGAATGGTAATTAATGCTCACAAGATCACCATCGTATTACAAGAATAACTTCGGCTGTATTACGTTTAAACATTCGTATTGAATATACTGACAATAGAATGGTAATTAATGCTCACAAGATCACCATCGTATTACAAGAATAACTTCGGCTGTATTTCATCATACACACTCGTCACAGTGCCATTATGCTATCTTGAGCATTATCAGCAATAAGATTTAATTAGAAAATGCCAAGGACTCTAGACGGTATGATTTTTTTATAAGCAGTAACATGTTAAGGAACGGATGGAATGAGGATTAATATGTTTATCACATTTTTTTATGAAAATAGATATTGAAGCTCTTATGACAAACCATGAATCCTTTGGAAAGTGTCCTCTATCGTCCCAATTTATGAAAACATATGTGTTTCATATCACACACATTGCAGCATAATGATGACATACGAAAAAAAAAGGTCAAAAAGATGCACGATCCTAGCAATTTTATGGTATTGCAGATCGCATACGTTACAAATTTCTACTAAATAACCTCATCTTCATTACTCACAATTTGCAATTTCACTGTATCTGTCTCCGTCATATACTTTACTGACGTTGTTTTTTCTTGTCGAACTTCCCGCTTTAAAGAGTTGGCACGGAGCATCAACGTTTCCTGTACCGTGTCGTGACCGTTGCAAGTACGGTCGTGCTTGGCGCTGTTGATCATCCTAGTTGTTGGCTGGACCTTGAAACACGGCAAGACCATCTTGAATTCTTTCCGGAAGTTGTCGTTTAGCCAAGCGTAAAGAAACGGATTGTAACAGGTAGAGCCCATCGCAACAGAATGTGAAAGAACAAAGAAAAGAGAAAGGTATTCCCAAGAGAGTGCTGGGATGTGAAAGTCCACCACTAAATTGTACATGTTAAGCGGAAGCCAGGAAACACCAAAGATAACCACCATAGCTATCAACATCCGGTTGGTTTTTCTGGTTCTTTCTCGTTCCCATTCTTCTTTTCTTAAGGATTTTGTTCCTGGTTTGGTCCTGGCGCGGTCCCGAAGTTTACTACAGACTTTCAAGTAGCAGATACTTATAATAATAAAAGGAACCACAAATTGCAGTACTGATGTACATAAACCAAAAGCTCTTCTACTAGCTTCGTGGGGCCATTCTTCATCGCAATATAATCGTCCCTTTAGAACGGTTAAGCTAATAAAGATCCCGTAAGGTAGAGTCAGTAGAGCTGCTGTAATCCAAATGATAACAACGATCATCAAACAGTACTTCACCTTCAGGCGTGACTTGAATGGATAAATAATGACGAAAAACCGATCAATAGCGATGGACATGAGAGTAATCGCCGATATGTAGACACTAACGCCTTGAACGTAGGGTAACAGATGACAAAAGACTCTTCCAAAGATCCACTGACGTAAAAATATGTAGAGCGGTGTAAAAGTGACAGCAAATGTACATAGAAGGATATCAGAAAGCGCTAGGTTAGTGATGAAAATGTTTGTCACTGTCTGCATTGACTTGTTTCGAAACACTACATAACACACTAAGACGTTTCCACAAATTCCAGTGATAAAGATGATAATATATAGACAATAAAAGAAAACTCGCACTCCAGGTATGGTGGTTATGTAATCATGTGTTGTTGGAGTTTGAAAAGATTGAGTGTAGTTTTCAAAGAAACTATTATTTCTATATAGAGTAACATTCTGAAATTCGGCGAATAACGCGAAACTGTCAAGAATAATCCCTTTCAAATTAGAATATGACATGATTTAATGTATGAAAGTATTTTAGGAATTGTTGAGGTAGCCTTCTAGAAAAAGCTTTAGCCACTAGATGCGTAGATTTAAGGTAGCCATTTTCTTCCAGAGTAGTAAATGTGCACACACTGCATCAGTGCTAATGCCATGTGTTAGCTTGAACCTGTTGAGAGAAAAAAATATTTTAGCACGATTTAGAAAAAAAAGAAATATTATGACGAATAAGTATTTGACAACGATACATATATTTTTAAAATTGTATAAGTTTTGCATCTGTGGATGCAATTTCGGTTCCTGAAGACACCAGACTCAAGCGTATAAGTGTACCTATATGTTAAGTACACTTACAAACATGAGTCTGGTAAGTGTACCTATATGTTAAGACATAGTACTCAAATGACACAAAAGCTTAAGAACACAAAATTCTTAGAGCAGCATATGACAAACAACAAAATAATAATATTCTTGATTCGCAAACTCAATAAAAATAAGTAAGATATTTTAAGAAATATAATCATAGTTTTTATTTATTATTTAACAGGTAATTTGTTCTTCATATAATTTTTTTTGCTATATTAAAGATTGTTTCGAGCATCACAATCCCAAATAATTTAACCAACAGTTGTCGGAGTATGCACTAATTAAATTAATAGTATAGTTCTAATAAAGTGAAGATTAAACCATAACTTCCTGCTAATAATTAACAGAACAGAACAACCACTTTACACGTATTTATACTTATTTCTTACTTAAGATCCTGGTAGTTATTCACAGATATCCATTCACGAATTTTCTGTATATTTTTGCTCTGATAACGAGAGTATGTGATCACGTAAGTTAAAGAATTATGGGTATTTTTCGGATAACATCCTATCTTTAAGACAACTAAGTAGTCTGTCAGTCACTTAGCTTATGATAACACTAAAGCTGCGAGCTGTGTAATCACTCGCTCTCAGAGTAAGTTGCCTGAACAAAATCAATAGCATCACACAAGCGGTCTATTGTCTATTAAGGGGAGTAGACGAATGGGGTCGTGTTTTAAAAATACAATATTATGAAAAAAAAAGTGATTAATCTAGTGAAATTATTATTTATCATCGTTCTTTTTAAGCAGTGGAAAAGGTGGCACTGTCGACATATTAAGATTTCTGTATAAGATTACGTTTTGGAAGTATAAAGCTAGAAATGAAAGCAATAAAAATCATTATATTTCTTGGAGTTATTTGTCATTTACCTACTGCAGGTACTTTTAATACGATGAAATGTTTATTGAAAATAGATATTTTGTAACTTTGCTGAAAATAGTGAAATATGTGTTCAGTTTTTATGTTTCTTAAATTTCTATATGTAGTGTTTGAACCAGTTAGTTCGAATAGTAAATGTAATACTAACTTACATTTCTCTATGTAGTGTTGAACCAGTTATTTCGAATAGTGCATATAATACTAACTTACATTTCTCTATGTAATGTTTGAACCAGTTAGTTCGAGTAGTACATGTAATACTAACTTACATTTCTCTATGTAGTGTTTGAACCAGTTAGTTCGAGTAGTGCATGTAATACTAACTTACATTTCTCTATATAATGTTTGAACCAGTTAGTTCGAGTAGTACATGTAATACTAACTTACATTTCTTTATGTAGTGTTGAACCAATTATTTCGAATAGTGCATATAATACTAACTTACATTTCTCTATGTAATGTTTGAACCAGTTAGTTCGAGTAGTACATGTAATACTAACCTTATAATATTTCATAGCAATTCCACGACGTGCTTACTAATAAGGTATAGCAAGTCCAGTAGTCTAAGAAAATAACGTCTTCTGGTACATACAGCGTATGCAAAGTTTTCTTTTGAATGTTCAAATAAAAACAAATTAGCTGTACTGATATCGCTCTTTCATTATACTGTTCCCCGCATATCTGTCCAGCCAGCAACAATAAAGTAGTAACTGCAAAGAACGTGGTGTTTGAGTAAGACACGGTGTGTCACTAAACTGTGGTATAGATAACACGTATGTTTATTTATAACGGTAGTATGTTATGCGAGCGTTACCTATTTAGATCATATACACATATACCTACTAATGTAGAACAGCACAAAAACATTAAACGTAATGGAGTAATGATAATTAACGTTAGTTGAATCTGTTTATGATAGAGATACCCAGCACTTTTGGTAAAGAAGTTATAAACAACGAAACTTTGTAATTAAAATCGTTAAAGAAATACATTTAATATTTATCATAGACATACCAATTGAATCTAATTCTTACAAATAGTGTGAATATTAGCCAGCTGCAGATCAAGGTTATAAGGAAAACACACGTCGAATATACACAGATTTAGATTTTAATCTAAGTAGTTTTAGTAATTTAGACACGTTTGTTACAAAGTTTCAGTTTGCATAAAATGTCTGTAAAGATGAAGATATAATAAAGTATGATTGAATGCACTTCTACAATGTAAGTCAACCACGGGAAATTTGTAGCGGCCAGGTTACAAAAAAGATTAGGTACTCTCGTTTCAAAGGTTTGATCCTGTAATATTTCGATGCATGGCAACGAAACATGTGACTAATAATTATCAGAGAATCAACCGTAAATAATAATGAATTGTCCAAAATCATATGTACATATAGATATATATAATGAAACACTTCTCTGAGCAAAACAGATTTGGTTTCTAATACTTATATATTACAGTGCTAGGGATAATGCAGAAATTAATTGTTATATTATGTCAAAAATGTAGTTTCTTCAATAATAATAACTTAAAAATAAGTTAATTTTTATCCAAGCGTGCTCCGTATATACAACTTAATTTTTAGCCGTCATATCAGTATTATCTGTCATTTTTATAGACTCCTCACGGTTACCTATACTTATAAAAGTAAAATAAAACATGTTTATTTCTTTGTCCGCGAACTATTCCCTGGTCTTTGGGATAATCTCAACCAAACTTGATAGGATGATACACTGGACCAAGAGCATGTCATAGGGTGGCTATTACTTGACCTCACCCAACATGAGCTACGTCCACAGCAAAAATATATTTCTTTAGTTAATGACAACAGTATCGAACCAACTTTTATTCATAAAATTGTTTGAGTTTTTTTAACTTGTTTTTAGTTTTTCTTGGAATATTTTGAGTTCTTTTATTAAAAATGTCAAACACACATTTTTGTGAGGAGAAATGGCAACCGAAGTACAAGGTTAAACCCTTAAAGTAGCAGGGCTACACCTGAAAACCCCCTTGCTTTTCACATAGTCATTTCTATGTTGAGTGTTCAAGAATAGTATCATCAAGACATCTCTGTAATTTGGCCCAGGAAGGAGGAAGAACTTTTAATGTGGTCTCTCGAGAATCATTCAGAGTATCAACAAACACTGAGGCTGTAGAGAGGGATTAGTAAAAGTAATAAAGTAAAGTAAGGTAGCTGTAACACCATTTCTGTAATAAAATAAAGCAGGTGCGAAATAAATTACGCATATAACTACAAATTATTGACTTAATCTATTAGTTCAAGCCCTACATTCTATTGGTCTACCTCCATACGTAGGACGGGTGGCTCAACTTGTGATACAATAAAAGCAACAAATTACTAATTACAATACATCTAAGATTGATGCTAAAATACCTACATGATAGTTAGATTATGATAAAAGCCTGTACGCGACGTAGCACAGACTCCAAAATATACCAGAAAGTGACCTGCTCCTTTGTAGCTTTTCATTGTGGAGTATGGTTTTTGAATCATAGGTGTGGACAGAAAACTACGATGGTAATTGCGACGTTCTATTTAATGCCAGGGCAAAATCTAGAGCAGCGATTCTTAATCTTTAGTAACCCGAAGACCCCTTTCAATTGATAATTTTTTCGCGTACCCCCAAATTTATTATTTTGAAAAAAAAGATTTCGTGTACATGAAAAACTGCATTCCAAAATTTAATTTTTGTTTATTCATATAAAATATTTTTATTCTATAGATCATACCTTTTAAAATATTTTTATGAACTTTCGAACATGACTTGCGGGTACCAGCTTCAGAAATGCTGATCTATAGAATAGGTGGCTTAAGTCACTATCGTGTTCCAAATCAATTTTCACCACGGTGGATTGTTTCGTATTGGAAGAACCTTGGCTCATAAGGGAAGAAATGCAGCACTGTGGGATGGAAATAATTATCTTAAACGTTCACGAACTTCCTTAGTTCCTTCCCCTTTCTAAAGAAATCAAAGGTCCAGTCCTTGTCATGAGAACGTTAGACCATTCCCAGTATGGCGGAACAGCACAAGAAGGGCTAAGATCTTCGATTTCTTTTTATGTATTTTTACTCAACCCTTACAATATAAAAAAGAAAGAATCGCAAACTATGAAACCACATCACACAATTTCATTCTTTCGGGTTTCACAGGTTGCGATCTTAGCATCGCTGAAACCACACTTTCTTCTTTGTATTGGAGATCAACGGTTTTTCAGCTGGTTGTCAAATGCATGTGACAATTTTTTATTATACTTCGCACAGCACGAACTGTAATAATCAAGTTCTGACCACCGTTGAATAAAATGGTCAAGGTTTGAGTATAATTTTACTTTATACGTCTGTCCAATTTTTTGTCGTTGTTTTTTCTGTCGCCAACGTTTGGTGGTCACAGCATTTTTTATCCTATGGCATCTGTATTCCCTTTCGATTCGCAAGTTTGTAGACCCCAATGACAAATGTCTGTTAACAACATGTATAATTGGCACTCTGTATCACGCCTCCTTGCTCTTGAAGAGAAAGCTATGGTCTAACTGTACCTCTGCCCTTACGAAGCTCACTTAAACATCAGATTCATTCTTTGGTCAAGCTATTTTGCATAATTAAATAAATGATGTATTATGAAAATGTTTGTGATTCTGGTTTGTTTGTATATTTGTTAAATTTCGTGCAAAGCTACTCGAGGACTATCTTCATTATATGTACATAATTTTGAAGTGATAGACTAGAGGGAAGGCCACTAGTTAACACCACCCACCTCCAGCTCTTGGACTACTCTTTATCAGCTATTAGTGGGATTGACCCGCAGGTAGATCTAGTAAAGGGATCATCAATGGATAAAAATAACCTTTTAATTATCTGTTTATTTCTTCCTTTGCTTTTATTATTTCTGCGTTT